ACAACGCTCACACTTGGACTTCGAAGCGACGATCGAAAAAGAAATGTGAAATCCCGATAAACCGCGCCCCTATCCAAAGAGGCAAAAGCGAAAACTATATATACTTTCGAAGTGGTTTTATCTCCGACAAGGCAGAAGTTTCAACGAAGTTTAAAGGCGAACCCTCCACAACCCTGTAATACGCGTATTTAATAAAACGACGATAGGAGGCGAGGCGAGGGCTCGCGTATGTCCGGACGTTTCGATAAGTCCGCCAATATATTTCACTCGCAGCCGAAAAATGTTCCCAAGCCGCTTCACAGCCGCAGCCGATACTATTTATTCCGCCCTCGTTCGTGGCGGCTCGCATACTTCGCCTATGGGTGTGTACTATCGGAATGTGTTGAAACATTGCGGCCACAAGGAGGTCGGATTAAATCTTGATACATTGCCGCTATCCACGCGTAAAATTCGCGCATAGAGCACACGCGTCTCTGTGCACACCGATGTACAGGGTGTTCCCTTTAAATTGGACGCCTCGTCGAGGTTGGAGATTGATGGAAAATTTATCTCGCGCGTTAATATACTTATTCGGAAAGAAGCGTGTATTATTTACGAATATCGAATTTTTAATTTCGAATATCGATAGGGATGATAGGCGAAAGTAGAAGCGGTTTGCAAAAATTACAAGGAGGTATTAATTTTGTATCGTTTAAAATTTTTAATACGATTTTTAATCGATGCGGGTAAATCGTCCCCGTGCAAAAAGATCGAAATCTCTTGTACACTGATGATTTTAAGTAAGCGTTAAAATAAAGCCAAGTAAATCGAGTTTTATAAGAATTATAACCGGCTGCATCGATTAACGTTTTAATCTACTCGATCTAGATTCTCTCTCTCTCTCTCTCTCTCTCTCTCTCTCTATCTTCTCAAACTTTATTCTTTTTCTCTCGAGACAGTATCGAGAATGGTGAAGGAAGTTCGATCGATTTATGATCGATAAAAAGAGAAAGAGAATAACGCGCGTATGAGATACGTATCGAGAAAATTGAATCGATCCCATTTAAAAAACTCGACGTATCTGTTTTATCAAGGACAACTTCTTTTTAACAGCTTCATCGGCCAAGTTGCGAGCATCCTTCGTAGGGGTTAAAGGGAACACCGTGTACACCGTCGATCGGCTCCATGCACACACCACGACACGCGAAAACGTGAAAAATGGGTGATTTATCGACGGTGAGGCCGATTGCCGATAGTGTACATTCTATCGTAGCGAATTACTAAGTGGCCACTTGTCCGCCACAGTTCCTTGTACATGAATTATTCTATTCCGTGACCGGTCGTCGCGCGTCCGCGCCGGCTAATTGTTCCTTTCCCCTTTCGACGAGTAAAATCCCTCGTTAGCGGGTTACATCGATCCGTGATCCTCTGTTCACAACCTCTCCCCCCCCCCACCCTCTCTTCCCTCCTCTATTTCCCTGGCGAAATTCGCGACGCACAACGAGAGCGGCCACGATATTATCCAACGGACACGCTCTTTCGTTTATGTAAGCGGCCGGTTTCCGTGATGTCACCGTCTTCCTCCTCCTCCTCCTCCTCCTCTTCGTTATATGTTATACGCTCTGCTCGCTTCGTCCATCGTGCAGCAAGGATTATTTGCTCGATTCGCGATCGATCGCGTCACTGCTTGATCGAAGAAGGCGTATCGAGGGTCATTTTGCCTTTCTTTTCTACTTCGTACGAAGCAAAGGCGTATCGAAGAATAGCTATTGAAGAATCTATTTTGTGGTAAATCGAGATTGGTAGGGAAAAAATGAAAGGAGAAATTTATATCCAACGGGGTAATAAAGCAATAAAGTAACTCGCGTCGATAAATCAAGTGTGTGGAGGGAAGGGATAGTATCCATTGAACATCCACATTTATGGTTGACACAATCTTTAACAGCCTCGTCCGTTTAAGAAAAGTCAGAATTTATTTCCGATGTTAATAAAACGGCTGCTTCGTATTTGGGAATTGCTTCGATACACACGAGTCGAGTTACACGAAATCGTTGTTATGAGAAGTCGCATCGTCTGTTCAAGCTCGAGGAACTTACGTTATCGCATTACGATTCGATCGTCACTCTTTATGTTCCATATATTCACACCGGTCGAGTCGGCTTGTGCGGAAAACAACTTATTTATACAAAAATACACACGTATTTTACGCATATTTTCTCGTTCCGTAGTTGGAAAGTTCAGTGATCTATACTTTATAAGGGAAGGATGGTCGCGACGACGTCGACATGTATTAACGTCGAGCACGCGACACCGATCTCCTGCGTTATAGAAGAGGGAATAACGGATTTCGTGCCATATCAAATGTTGCGTGCCTATGCGACCCGCCCAGCAATTGTGAATCACAGTAATTACGTTACGTGTCTGTTATGTGATTGGTGGTAATTAGAAAAGATCGTTTTTTCCTTTTCTTCCCCTCAACCCATTCAACGACGATCTCCCCCCGTGTCCCTCGATGCCCTCGAGGATCCTTGCGATCTCTTTTCCCTTTTTCATTGAGGCTTAATTGGCTCCGACGCTGGCTAGCGTCGATTACGCAAAAGCTCCTGCGAGGATTTTTCTACTCACGACCAGGCTATAATTAGTACATTCCTTTTTGGAGTAGTCACGAGTCGCGTGGAGGTTGGAGGAGCCGTGTGGTGCTTGCGGTTTATAGCTGCGAGCCAAATGGATAAGTAGGCTGAACGTGCAACGAACTATAACGAAACTTTGCTCGCGAAAAATTGTCGTCGTGACCGTTTCGAAGAAAACGGAAGAAGGCGGCGTTACGAGAATCGCTAATTGTCTAAATGTGTGATCGTGTTAACGCGTAAGATTAATATCACGGAATGGAAAAACATGAGATGTGTCCCGGATACGTTGGATGAAGTATTATCCCGTTTAGTGGTCGTTTCCATATTTACTTCGCTTATTTTATTTTCGTGATCATCGAGAAATCTTCCGTTCCAAGCTTTCGGAGAGTTCCAATTGCTAACAATTGTATGAAGAAGGAAAGAGATGGCTGTGTCATTCGTCATCATTGAGAGAGAGAGAGAGAGAGAGAGGGACAAAGGGTGTTGTCTGGTGATAATAGAATAGATGGGAAACGAGGATATGCGTGGCGGAACGGAGAGGGGAAAAAAGGAGCAACTGGCAAGGACGCTCATATACGTTACCATGTCGTGTTCTCATAATCGATTAGCCGTCGGACGAGAGAAGGAATCCCTTTCTGTAACCCAACACGTCTGATCCTTCTCTCGTTCTTGAGAGAAGAGAGGCCACTCAAGCATTTAGGACCATTCTGGCCTTGCGACCGCCTACGTTCCAGACCTTTGTCTCGCGTCCAAGAGATGCCTCCTCGTCGCGGTGGCAACTCTTCTACCACGTTGCTCGCTCTCCTCGGACCAATTTTATTGTTGGCGTATATCCATCCAGGATACGAGTGTCTGGTACGTCGCGTGGACGAATATATTGGACATTTTCGATGGACTTTCGATGGCAACAATTTTTTCCGTTTTATCAAAAGAAACAGGATTAATTTATCTCTTGGTGAAAGGTTTAAAATTTGTTAACGATAAGTAAGAATGTTACAAATACATCTCGAGAATCTTATACGATTTGGACAATTCGTATATTATAGCAAATTAATATCGATCTCAAAGTTCTATCCAGATTTCTATTTTATTACTTAGTTTTCCATAATTTCTAGTTTCTACATCCAGTGTAAATAGTTGTGCAGTTTAAACGGATAATAAGAAATATAATGCGAATAGAATAATCGTGAATATTATTTTATTATATTATATACACATAGTCGCGCGACTGGATGGATACTTTTGAGCGGTGATGTACATGGCTATATACTCGTATGTATACCATAGTGGCGAAGCCACATGAAATTGAAAGTTAGCGTGGGTCGATAGCTACCGCCCAGACCGGTCCAAGTTTACTTGGGTATTAAGTTTAGCGATTGGCCCGAGAAAATATCACCGTTCTCGAAAACTCACGACCGCGCGAAAACCGCATGAATTTCGATCGTTCCACGATTATTGTACATATATATATATATATATATATATATCTGATGCACGATTTTCCACGGATGGGATTCCATTGGCCGATTGTAATTAATTAAATAATATATAGCCACGAGACGAAAGGAAGGACGATCGAGTATGCGAGTTTTTAAAGGCCAAGGGGCGATTAACCGAGTATAATTAAAGTTGGCAGACTAATTAGCCGGGTATGTTAATATTAATTGCGGCTTGGTCCACTTTTCTTTTTTTTTTTTTTTCGGCCCTCTCTTTCGAATTCCCATGATCCGGACCTCGATATCCCCCTCCCGGTTTCGATATAAGCGGTTTTACATACAAAGAGGCGTACTCTACTGGTACCCTCGCGATCGAAAATCGAGCACCACGAATGTATATACCTACCTAGGCATTTTAATATTCATTATTTCGCGGATTTTTCGATCTTTATCTCTGTAACGAGCTCGAAGATACTTCTGTGCGTAGACTGGAATAATAATTATTGAAAATATCGTCGACGAGAATTACGATGGTTGACCTCGTTGAAATCTAAATTCCCCATTCTCGAGTTTAAATTTAAACTCTCCGTAACTCTCTTGCCTTGCTTTTTCTTGACAACAGAAAAATGTAATCATTATGAGCGGAGAGAGTAATTATGGTGCTCTTCTCGGAGAAGAGTATCGCAATTCGTCTGAAATACAAGTAATGTAAGTAATATAAAACTCTTAAAAAAAAGAAGAGAGAGAGAAATACTTTGAACACGATAAACGATAATTGTTATTTCAAAGAACAAAATGTGTAATGTAAATTTCGAAACGTAATCTAAAATCTAATCTAATATCTTCGAAAAAAAAAAAAAAAGGGAAAAGAAATTCGACGAGAATTCTTTTTCGAAAATATACACGGGTAACGACGATAAACATTTTACGCAAAGTGATTTTCGTTCGATCACAGGTCACCGGCCAATTATTGGACACCGAGTTTCAACCGACGGTTACAGCGACATGCAAGGCCGGCCATATGACGATACGAGTGAACCTGAATCAGAGTTTCGTGGGCGCTGTCCACGCGAGAGATTTTCGGACGCCGCAATGCATGGCGCCCGGAAACGGGTCCACGCACGCGACGCTGGCCATTAATCTTCTCGCGCCCAAAGGTTCCCCGGATTACTGCGGCGTCTTGGTGAATAACGTAAGTTATCCCCTCCTCAATTTCCTTGATTAAAAACTCAACTCGGTATATAATATAGGAGATTTGTCTGTTGGCAAGTGTTGGACCGTTTCCCTCTACTATTCTAGAGTCGAGAACACAGTTTAAAACAAACGTCCACCGCCGCGTATATTTCTGTACAGTCATCCGCGCAACGTATGGAAAGAGAAGGAAAGGTGACGGGTTGGATGACTTACTCGTTATACGATCGTCATCGCATCACACTTGATAATAATGAAGATTTTGATTGATAATGATGGAGGGTGTAATAAAGTCTTGCTTTTTACGTTTTTACTAAATCATCATTTATGATCTGTCAGCCATTTTGAGGCCTCCTTCCTCGCGACATCTGGCAGATTTTCTAAAATGGAAACAGCCGTAAAAAGGGGAGAATGTTATAAATTGTTATAATAAAATAAAACGATCCCAATGCGGGATATTGCAAATATTTTTCTTTTTTTTTTAACGAACGTGCAAATAAAATCTACGGAATATTGAGCAATTATTTTACTTTTATCGAATTCTTTCGCGAGATTGGAAATAACGATGGGATAATTCTCTTTATACTTAATACTCCTCCCGAGATATCCTTAGCTATTACGAGGTACAACAGGTTGTAGAACCACGCTTATGAGTCCGATAATATCGGAGACATAATCGAATAAAGGACACCTTGTTCGATTCTTGTTATTTCCACGATATCAAGCCGAGATAATCGTCCCGAAACGGTTTCTTCGAAGCAAATTTCTCCTTGTAAATTCTCTGTTGTAATTCTTCGCAGGACACCGAGGAACGATCCATCCCCATCGCGGTAAGGATACACAAGACGTTAGAGCTGGCCGACGATAAATTTTACGTGATCACGTGCGGAAAAGCTGGATTCAAAAACGCCAAGTACATATAACAACAGTTTATTAAATATTAAATTTCTCGCGATTATGCGAGAGAGGGAGAGAGAGAGAGAGAGATCTTAAACGACACGATAATTTTCTTCCTCTTCTTCTTCTTCTTGCTCGTTTCAGGAATGAGACCTCGCTTGTATCGTTGCGCCTTTTGGACGGAGGCCACAAAGTGCAAGAGGCTATTTACGGTCACAACTACACTTTGCGTGCTGAGATCTCGCGACCAGATGGTTGGTACACGGCGTCCTCTCGCCCGATCTCTTATCCCCTTCGCGTTTTAATTGGAATTAACGAGCGCGCGTAAACGCGTGAACTCGCCGCTCCCCCGTGACACGCACTCATCGATCTTTTTCCATGGGTTTCAGGTATGTACGGGATCAAAGTGAAATCGTGCTTCGCGTTCAATAAACGTAACTCTAGTGTGCAGTTGATCGACGATAAAGGGTAGGTTTTCATTCCACTATATTCAACCTCTTTTCGTTCGATAGAAGTGAAAGAATTTCAATGTTCAAGGTATTATACGTGGTTATAATTGGAGTTGCCATCCCTTTGGATTTTTCCCTCGTCTAAAATTCGTTTTAGATTGGATTAATTTTGGATAGACTATACTAGAATTTTACTTTTACCCGATTTCTTTATGGTATTTGTATTACTTTTATTTGTTGATCGAGCTATTTTCTAACTCCTTGTTAAGATGGCGATTCCTAATATTTCAGTATATTTGTTACGGTAAAGTATAAGGTGACAATCCGGTTACGCAACAATTCGTATTATTGTCGAGGATTTATGTAATCCAGATATGGATTTTGCGCGATTCGAATTGTCACTCGGCCGATCGCGATAATACGGAATTGCGTAATCCCTGCTCCGTTTTCCATGACAAAGGTGTCCCGTAAAGGCTCAGGTGATGACGAAATTCATCTACGATCGAAACACAGGGCTGGCGGATGCGACATTGTTCTCCATGTTCCGGTTCTCCGATAGTACGCAGGTGCATTTCCAATGCGACATCGCCGTATGCAGAGGTAAACCGATCCGTTGAACGACTCCCAATTACGACCCCGGTTCGAAATCTGGGTCGTCCAATGTGCCGTTCAACTTGGCCGCCAATTAACATTTCAACGTGTGTCGCACGAGAAGTAGCACGTGCCTCGTTACGCGTAATTTGTCTTAAGAGAAAAAGAAACACGCTTCTGTCCCTTCACTGTTTCCAGGAAAATATATATTTTCCAACGAAATGAATCGCGTTAATACGTTACCATCTACCGTTCCAACGAGAGAACGCATTACTGCATCACTTGTGCTAGATGTGATGAAGGCACGAAGGCAGGAAGTTGGAAGGAAGATGGTCGATCGTTGACACGAGAAACCGCGTTTCTACAACGCGATTCTTTCTTCATTCGAATCGATCAATTTGAAACGACAAAGCGAATACGACCACTCTATCTCCAAAGAACGGCTACGTTTTCGACACGAACGAGATGTGCTACTTTTCCTAAACTCTCGATACTCTCTTCCTCGTGACTCTCTCTGGCTGTGTGTTCGAACGGTACCGACCACTTTGTATCTCGTGTCGGTTACGTTCGATTACACTTCCTTCTTGGCCCAGAATAGGAAAAAGAGAGAGAGAGAGAGAGGGAGAGAGATTCGAAAACGCTTGACCGGTCGAGCGAACGGTAAATAACGCGTGGAAGATAAAAGGTGAAACGTAAATGGTTTTTTTTTTCTTTTCTTTCCTCCCCCCATCCAGGAAGCTGCGGTATCCCGGTCTGCGACGACGATAACGAGGAAGATATAAAGGGAGCGTCCTTAATTAATAGGCAAAGCGTGAGCGGCGAGGAAGGAGTGCTTCTGGCCGGCACGAGCGTGTTCGTTCTTAACCCTGGTCAAACGCCGTGTAAATATCGCACCAGTACTTTTCATATACCCGCTTCCTGCTTTTACTCCTACTTAACTCCTCCGATACCCTCGCTCCACGTGATTAAACCTGCCTGGATCTGAACTTTTAACCCCCGCGCGCTCGAATTAATTAGCCGGCGCGGGTAATCCTCTATTTTCCGAAGCTGCGTACAGGCTGGGATGGGATACGATCAGCCTCTCTCCGGGGGAACATTGTATCGCGATAGCCCCGGCCGAGCTGTCGTCGAGCTGTATCTCGATAACGATGGAGGATACGTATGTGCGTGTATTAACCCTTTAAGTGATCCGTGAACTCGCCAACGAATCTGTCCGTATTTCTTCTTTTTTTTATTTTATCGTAGTTAATCGATCGGGATGGCTTGTTGTCGCTACGTGGATAAGTTCGTGCAGAAGAATTCGAACGTTGGGTTAAGTGAAAATATGTTCGTTAATCTGCTCGTCCTCTCGATCCACGATGATATCGTGATATATCGTACATCGATCGAAATTGGTAGACGATGTACCATTAAAATTTAACGCACGTGTTCGAGTATCGCGATGCGACAGAGATTAGTTGCATTAACTTCACTCGTGATCGAAACTCGTGTTAAATCCTTGTCGAATCAAATATGTATATATATTCGACGAAAATTGCTACGTCTACGTTAAAATTGTACGATCTTACGTGGCATCGAGATGTATACAATGTTTCGACCGATTGCCAATCTGCGCGCAGCTTAAACAGATGTACTCGATCGTAAAGCTTAAAAAGAGAGAGAGAGAGAGTGTCTCGGTTGTTAACATACACCGGTTGATTTTCCAGCCGTTCAGTCATTGTACGAGGATGGCAGCGTTCACCCTGTATGGCTGTTATGGCTGGCGGTAGCTCTCGGCATCCTGTTCCTCATCATGCTGATAATCAATATATTCCTCTGCTCGGCGATGACCTGCAGCTGCACCAGGACGGACATTATCGAGAAGGAGCCATCGATTATCGAGGACTACGATCCGTATCGTAGCTGGCACGGATCCCAATACGGCTCGAGGTTTTCGACTTTTTTCTTTTTTTTTCCCCTCCCTTTTATCTTCGTCTTTCTTTTTTGGGGGATCATCGTAACTTGGGGATCACGAACCAAAGATTCCATGAAACCTCGAACTACTCGGGAACTTGTAATTACCCGAAGGCGAATATGAGATTCCCTGTTGGCGCGTAGCCGGTTAATTGAGATGTTTGGAAAACGAGGATTCTCAATGTGCGTGCCTCAAATTGATTGAAACGCGGTAGTGGAAATGGGTGGATTTCTTATATGGATAAGGGTTGGGTCGGTAAGGAACGAAATGAATCACGTGAGTTCGTCAAGCATTTTAAAAGATGAATTTTATTTTTCGATAAAAATTAATTCCCTCTCTCCCCCCCCCCCCCTCCTTTTTTCTTCCTTTACGATTCTTTTTTATACGATAGTCGAACAATTCCTTTTCCCCCTTTTCGCAGTTGTACTGCAGAGGATATTTTTAACGGAGTTTAAAACTGAAATGAAAAGAAAAAAATAATTCTGTTCAATAATATTGATGAGAAATTACAACGACAATAATCTATACAAGCGAGAAATGTCCATTACACGTCACGTTTAGGAATCACAACTCACACGCGCGCATAGTCGGGAATCCAAACTGTACGCGTCACACTCTTAAAACATTTATCGCTTTCGATCTATTCTTCTTCTTCTTCTTCTTTTTTCTTTTTTTTTCCTTCTTCTTTTCCGTCTCCCGAAGTGACTAATTGCACGTACACGCTTGATCCAACGACGCATTGTCACCGAGGCGATTATTCTTAGTAACGAAAGCTGAAAGAGTGAATCACAATCTTTGTCCAGGTACTCCTTAAACGGGAAGCAGGGATACGCTTCCGGAGGATCTACGATGAATTCGACGAGGTCGATATCGACGAACAGCGACCACTACGCCATAGTGCATTCGAGGCCAGGGAGCAGATACTCGGGGCCGGGGCAGAAGCACCATCATCATCACAGAGGGCCGCCGTCCAACATCGGCTCCCATTATTCCGGGAAATAATAATATTCATCGAATTTTTACAATAACAAAAAAGGTGGAAGGAAGAATAGAACGAACTGTTATTTCCTATGATGTCTCGAACGCATAATTCAAGCTCTTTTATAACAACGCAACCGCGCGTAACGGGTATCTAGATTCAATGGAGTCATTGCTCACGCTGTTCACCAAGACAAATCAACAAACGGGCAGAGACGTGGACAATGGTTGATCCTTGACTCGAGGGATAAAGGCGTAAGGACGCGAGATGCAATAATTTGCTTAATTACAGCCCCTTAACGAAGAATAATAATAGACACTTGGCCACTTGTTCGCTTCGCGTTGAGGATTGACTTATCTAACTTGATACGTCCTCGATAGTTGATATTAATGAATCGGTAGAAATATCCTAGTTTCTTTTCTTTTCTTTTTTTTCTTCTTTTTCTTTTTCGTTAAATAGATCTTGATCAAAAAAAGATCAAGTTATTTGGAAAATTTTTATAATTTATAATATAATTTGACCTTCCTATTATTCTTTTTTTCAAACGTGTTGTCTCTGTTATTAATATGATAGTTTTTTTTTTTAAATTAATTCAAGATTAAGTTTCTTCGTATAAATAAATTTCTACGCGATGAGAATGAAACATCAAGTATCGAGGTATGACAATCCGTTCCATTTATCAATAGCTCCATACGTGAGAAAGTTTTTCAACTAGATCGTATTTGTATCATATGATAGTCATAAATATAGGTACTATTTTCTTCTTTTTTTTTTTTGTTTTTGTTTTTTTTTTTTTTACAATTTTTTGCGCAATATCGTGTTTGATTACAGACGAAACTTTTGTACATAATCGGAAACCATCATTCTTTGTGACCAACGATATCAGAAACGATTATTCTTGCTATATCTGCATCGTTTCGTGCCGTCCAAATAAAAAGTATCGCGTACAACAAAATTCATATATCTTGTGAAAGAGGAAATATTCCTAGAAAATTAATTTTTATTGTAACAATTCAATGAAACATTCCGAGTCACAAACACATGTTTAAATACAGTAAAAAAAAAAAGAAAAAAGAAAAAAGAAAAAAAAACTTAAAAATAACATGGAACACATTTATTCAACCTGGACCCATCGATATATCGACTTATGACATACTATAAATTTAAAAAAAAGAAATTATCTCGTCTCATCGCGTGAAAATTTGATATTACAAATTGAATGTTCACGGAATGAGATATTCGACGCATTACCTTCTGCGAAACGTACGTTTAACGGGTGTAAAAGTGAATGAACGAAGCAACGAGATGATGGCTCGCGTGACTCGGCTCGGTGGAGGAAAATAAGGCATTTTGAAATATTAGAAATGCTGTTATTCCGTGTGCAATAAATTTGTGCGCGTTCAACGCCGAGATAAAATTATCGGTAAAAGTGTACGAGGCCTGGGTTGTTGCAAGGGTGTGTTGCATGCTAGTCGTTTCATGAATACGTCCAGTCACGTAAAGACGCGCGCGCATTATTCGCTTTGTCATACTAAATACTTCGCCGAGGACGAATGCGAGCCTCCATTATACTACGAAGTGCAGTTAACGCATTTTAGAGTTTCAAATTCACGGATAATAAACTGTTAAGTTTTATTATTCATTTGTTGGCAATGGTGAACGCGAGTAATAGTAACGACATTGAAAAATATGAAATATGATATAGTACAATAGAGATACAATATATATATATAGCATATAATAGAAGATAAAAGTTGTATTAATCGAGGAAAAATTCTGAAATTCGATAAAAGCGAATAATATTAAATGCATTAAATAACGATACGTAACGGTGAAAATAAAAATTATAAAATTGTATCAATTAACGAATCGAAAGGCGAAGAAGCATTTTGAAATTTATTCGAGAAATCGAGTATCCAATTCGGTAATTAGTATTATTTAAGAATCTTTCTTTCTCGGGGAAAGGGACGTTCTTAAATAATATTTTTCGATTCGAGTTAGTTGAAACGAATGATTGAATGATTGATTAAAACTTAATTTAAAGGGAGAAAAAAAAAATTTGAAAGAATTTAGTGGAAGACAGTTTCGAGAACAGAGAAGTAAGAGACTTCAATTCTCTTCTCTTCGAGAATTGTACTCATTCACTTGCACGGTTTAATTATTCGGAAAAGATCAACGGGTTAAGCATGCCGTTTTCTTCCTACTGGTTTAATTGAACGAGCTCGAGCAGTACCGCTATTTTTGCAACTTCATTTAACACAGAACTTGTTAACGTTAACGATAACAATATCCTAGTTTCACGGTTACCCGTTGTTCTTTAGATTTTTAAGAAAGTTAGGTCAACGTCTTGTCACGTGTTGCACAATGACGATAAAAACGACTCGAACGAGATCCCGTGCGAGTAGGATTTTTCTAGGTTTTAAGAAAGGAAGCGAAGAGAGAGAAAGAGAGAGAAAGAGAGTTTTTTTAAAAACAAATTTATTATTAAATGTACATCTATATATCTGATAACGGAATATACGCGAGTTACTCGCTTAAATACTACCTGTACAAAAAACACGAAAACTCATCTCTCCATGTGGACAATAATAATTGTTGAATCTCTTAGGCATTTTACATAAATAATTATGTTACAAAGCTCGACTTTGTAATTCTTCTCGGTTAAATATAAAATACATTTTTATTATACATATTATAAAAAAATAAAGGAATCCAGCGATAATCTTCGCCGATTAATACTCTTACAAAAGTGTTTTAATAACTGTACATTTATTTCGTCGAAAACTCATATATATATATATAAATAAGTTAAAAAAAGAGAAAAGAAAAGAGAGAAAAAAGAATTTGTAACGAAAAAGATAAAATAACGCAACGAAGGAATGTTGAGGAAGAAAAATCATTTCGAATTGATTCTGACAATCAATACCTTTTTTTTTTTTTTTCGTTTTATAATCAACAATCTTAAGATGAATAATAATCGACTTGTATGAATATTCGATTAAACAGGTACGTTGTTCTAAGAAATCCAAACCTGTCCAATTAAAGTATACGATTTCACGAAGAAGATTCTGAAAGTGATGATTGACGTTTTAATTTTTTTTAATAGAAGAGAGCGTTCTTAGTTGTTCGTGATAGAGATATTTAAATTATATAACAGAAATAAGTTATGGTGGTTCCACGAAGAATCTCTAATACCAGGAACGTCTTTTGCGAAAAAAAAAAAAAAACATTTTATGGTCACACTTCCATATAAAAGTTTTTAAAAGTCTTTCAATTCTCAATAAAACTTTAAACTCATTATTTGATACGATTCACAAAAATATATATTCTCTTCCTAAGAAAAGTAAGAAATGGAATAAATAAATAATTAAATTATTTCGATGATTCGAAGAAATTTTTGTTTTTTTTTTTTTTCCAAGATTTTTCAGCAACGTATTTTTAAAGGCATCTCGTCAGTTTATCGTGATGGCGTTGCCACGATCGAGTATTTCGTGTTTTAATGATTCCGTCTCGTGTATTTAGCGAAGTGAAATAGAAGGATTTTATCTACAAAACGGCGAGAGTATCGTGACGTGGTGCACGTGCATCTATCGCGCTCGATTCTCGACGATGCAGCTGCGCCGAGCCACGATCGCTCAACGGACATCAAACATTGTAAATTGTTACGAGTAAATGTAAACCGTTTTTAACATATATATATATATATACTCCAATCTCATGAGCTAGAATAAAGAAAAGAAAAGAAAAAAAAAAAGAAAAAAGAAGAGTAAAAATTGTGAGGCACCATGAATAAACGTAGAAACTACAACGAGTATAAATCTACGACAGCGAAACAATGTCAGCTGTATTAAGTTACTTACGTAACGATAAAGTACGATCGATCGTCATTAGAAGTAATAAAAAGTGAGAGCTCGAGTTGATCGAGTTCTGATACTCAAAATTAATAAAACCGATTCAAAACAGAGAGAATCGATCGCGCGCGAGGTTTGCACCATTTGAGAGAAATTTTACGCTGAGCGAAATAAATAACCATGAAAATTGGAATTAAAAATCGAATCGTTTCTAAAAGAAAAGAGAAATTATCGAGCCAATAAAATTAAAATTAAAAAAGCTTGGATCTACAAAACCTCGGCTGCACAACAATTGACAACAATTGACCTCCTCGATCCTAATCATCTACGAATATTTTTTGTTATTTTATTTTTTTTTTTCCTTATATATACTTTTCATATCAGGCAATAATCTAAATGTTACCTTTCTTCCACTTTATATAACCCTAATTGCACTACTTGAAATTATTGACAAGGACAAGAACGACAAGCCACACGGCCCATTCTAGGGGCAGAGAATAATTTCCTTTCCTAACTAAGGCCACTTTAGGAACCTGGATTTCGATACGGCGAAGCGCCAATATCGCGGCAATTGGTTCGAGCTCGAGCCACGATCATCCAGATCGAAACGGATCAAGTTTCCTTAAACAGCGTCTCCCTAACGATCGTCTGATCCTTTCATCTCGCGGTGAAAGGTCTCCTCCTCCGTGTTCTATCTCCGCGAAATAATTAATGCTCCTCGCGCTAATTTAATCCCGAATAACACAACACCCACCCGTTAATGCGTCTCGTTAAACGTGTAACACGACTACTCATTATTTACACGGTTGTTACGGATTGTGTTAGTTACGTTTCAACTATATTCGGCCAACTCGTGTTCGACCTGTTCGCCTATTTTATATATATTTCGCCACGTGACCGTTCACCGCGTGACTTCACGCGGCGAAATCGTTTAATTGGAGAAAAAGGGAGGTTCGATTGCGCAAAGTGGCTGGGTAAAGCATCTAGGACATAATAAATATCGGCTGTTGGCTATTTTCGTATTCGCCTATTGCGGCACCAAAAGCGGGTCTCGGCTCACGTGCGTGTGTGTTTACGTTGCATCCGATCGAAAACTCTCACGTCTTACATCTCGGTCGCTCGTGCCTCCTCGTATTTCCAGGATCACGACTCATTCTCCTTCGCGCTACTACACACGATCTTGTTTCTCCTCTCTCAATCTCTCTGTTCATTCATTTCTCTCGTAGAACACTACTACGAACCGACCCGACGAAGAGGAAGATTAACGAAATAGCAGCACTCGCTACAGCACACACATGTGTGTGACTACTTTACAGGAATACTCTATGATGTGATAATTGTATGCTTTAGACAGCTTTTTTTTTTTGTTTTCCTTTTAGCTTTCCTCTTTTTTTTTTTTTTTTTTTTGCTTCCCTCAGGACGGATCAGTGAAACGAGTCGAGCGACAGCGATGGCGGCGTGATGGCCGGTAAGTGGTCCCCGCATCTGGGGAAATTTGGTGGTATTGGCGGAAGATCGGCGTGGGTCCCGACGTGTAGTATCAGATTCATCCCGATCAGTATGTGGAAGAGGAAGTGGCAGTGGAACAGCCAGTATCCTGGAAAACGAGACGAGATGGTGGTTAATCGTTGTCACGAGTGTTTATGTAACAAAGAGGGATGAAATGGGTGGGGGAACGGAACGATTACCAGGATTATCGGCGCGGAATCGGAAAATGACGTAGCCATTGTTCGGGACGGCGATAGTGTCCTTGGCAGGTGGCAGATTGAACTGTCGGTTGAGCAGACCTCTCTTGTCGAGATCCAACGCGTGTTTCAGATTGATCTTTTTCACGTTTTTGTCCGGGGAACGGCCAATACCGATCACGTTGAAAGCGTATCCGTGTAAATGGAATGGATGAGACAGATTCGGCTGTTGGACTGGAAGAGAAACGAATTCGGGGTGTGAAAATGATGAAACAAGGAGTTTATTCCTTTTTTTTTTTTTTTCTTACTGACGATGTTAATCTCATTTTCAGGTTACCTTCGTCGACGAGGACCACTTCGACGACCGCGTTGTGCGGGATGTCGACCTGATGGGTGCACATGCAGTTGGCGCCACAGTCGGCCGGCCTGTTATCGCCGTTGCAAAACTGTTCGGGCGGGATGTCGTCGATTTGCGAAAGCGGAGGCGCCGGCGGAAATGTGAACGAGATTTCATCGACGAGAGAGATTACGTGATCTCCGGTCGGTGCGACTGTGGAGAAGACAAGGTGAAATGGCACGGATCGTGATGTGTAAGACTCGATTTGAACGGGTTTCAATTACCATTTCAACACGTTTGCCTTCAGAATTCAATCGAAACACGTTTGAATTTCGTTCAAAACTCGACTCGACTTATAATATAAATTATAGAGAGAACTAATTCGAAATCGTCGAATTATTTCTCAATTACGCGCTAGAAGTTTACGAACGAAAACTGGTTATGAGGTTAATGGATTCAACGTATGCTTGCGACACATCGATTGGAAAAAGGAACTATCCTTTGCGCGAGATCACGTGGCTGTTTCTCTCTCTCTCTCTCTCTCTCTACAGAGGTGACCTGTAATTTATTTTGAAACGGATCGCTTACCCAAGAATCGATTATACGTTTGCGGCTGGAAGACTTCTTCTGGCCTGTAGAAGAGGAAACGGAACGGCAGGAATATCTTCACGTCTGGACGCTGCTGGAGAATTCCTTGGTCAATTTGACGAGCATTCTTCAATTGGCTCACGCAAATCGCGTCCTCGCGTTGACGATTGCAGATCGCGTCCAGTGGGTTCAATACCTAAGCAAGTGAAATTTCGTGATTTTATCAACTATTGGTAAGATAGGATTCATTCGATTTCTGCGTTATCCACAATACACCTTATTCGTAATAACTTTTACAACTTTTATAATACGCATACATCATAAAAGATTTACACGGATCGTTACATGAGATTACGAGAAATGTTCTTCTAATTTCCATTTCAATATCTATTTTTAATATCTCTTTAAAGATTGCAATTAACTTGAAAATAAGAAGGAAAATAAAAAAATTAAAAAATTTAGGAAAATGGCCAAAATAACGTAATGCGTTTCTAATTTGGTTAAACTAGCTACCGTGTTCAAAGAATTCCGGCAATTAAGCGAAAGCGTTCCAACGAAGTGGTTCTTTCTTTAAGGAATTACCGCTACAAATATCGAAACGGTGGTAATAGTGGAAAACGTTTCTCTCGCAACTCTGCCATACTTACAACACCCTGCGGAAGACCAAAATCGTAAGTGGGCGCTGTAGTGGTCGGTTGATATGGGCCACGAGCATATCTCAATATACCTAACTGTTGAGCACGAGGTATACCGCATTCTCCCAACGAGCGAACTTGGATCCAATACGCGCCTACCGGTTGATCCGCGTTTATCACGAAGTCGTATCTTTCCCCTGTAAATCAGAAGGTAAAGCATCGTTAACTTTAAGATATCGTGGCGATATTTTACCGACGCGCAATTGTATTGATTGATGCCCCCAGGAACGAGAAGAAGAGAGAAGAGGAAGATGCACGATGCCCCCTTTTCTCGTCGATCTTGATGAATAGTTTAAAAAAAAAAAAATGGAAGCTGAAGAAAAGGCTGGTTGTTTACCAGAGAACGAGATGATGGTGTCCACTGTGACTGGTTGCACCGCCTCTCCGTCGGTCGCGATCACGGTGAGGGAATGGCCTTCGAACGTAATCTGAGATGGACAAACTGATCCAAACGAGTTGATCAGTCGAAAACGATAACGACGACCGGGAGTTATGGTGAACACCTCGAGTGGCGTGTTCGTCATGAAACCGGTGTTGGGATCCTGCCGACAGAGACGAGCCAGTTTATTAGATTCGTTTCTTTCGAATTCGAACGTTGGTCGAGATGATTCGAGACGAAGTACTGCGGTTGGAAATTATTTTTTATTCGCGTTGTCTGTATCCGATGATTCGAAGATTTCTATCCTTTAAGAACGCAAGAATGTACTTCGATACTTTTAAATTTTTATAGAAATCGACAACGATATCTACGTATCTTAATAATAATAATAATAATAATAATAATCGTTGAGAATCTACACGCACTTTCACTAGATCTACGTAACCACGTAATCCGAGTAGCGCGTTCGAAAGTGGAATAGCATCGAGGCGATCTAACTTCAGCCGACCCCTAAATCCCCTTATTCGTCGGGTACGTGTATGCGGTTGCTGGCGCCATGACAAGATTTATTACGGAGTAGAAGTTCATTTATCTGAACGTGTCACGATAGTTGGGATAACATGGTACTTTTAATAATACAGTTTCTTCATCTCGTGTACTTATTACTTCGTATGTAACCAAGCTGACGTTACGTCTCGAGTAAAGAAGTGCGCGTACGCAATTTGTTTCAAACGCAAACAAATAATGATATAGTGCTTCGTGTAGGGAGATAAGATGCACATTCAATTGTGCACACGAGGAAGAGAGACAGTGGATTGATTATTCCGACAAGGAAAGATGTAAGAGTGAATGTAAAATTCGAATTCGCATACCCTGAATTGGCCTTTTCCGTTTATCAACACGCTCTCAGGCGCTTGGCCGGTGTTAACCGCTAGCCGGCCAGGAAAACGTTCAGCCGCGTTCTCATGGAACCAGTCGCTGATGAGAACGACATGGGTAGTAAGATCGTAGTCGTAAAGATTGCTGTTAGGATCTTTGCTAGGCGGTTGACGTATCACTATGCTTCCGTACAGGCCGTCCATTTTCTGCAATCCTGTGTGGGCGTGCCAGAAGTGCGTACCCTCGTTTCCAGCAGTCCACTGGTACCTGTTGATGCGTTCGTTTATAACGTTTCGATTTGATTCGAGAAATGGAATCGAATGGAATCTCGTTGGCGATTAACGATTACCTGAAGGTGCTACCCTCTTGAATGGGGCACTGCGTCACGAATGGCACTCCATCGTAGTACTGAGAGCCCCTCTGCCACACGCCGTGCCAATGAATGGTAACTTCCATACCTTCGATGTGATTCTCCACGTCGATCACGACTTTGTCACCTTGACACACTTGGATGCTTGGCCCGGGTATCATCCTGTTCGCTGTCAAAATACCTCGTTCCACGCCATCTGCCAACACGCATTGACAATCGCTCCAGACCACGTTAGTCGCGTTAGGGGTGCAAATTTGGCACGCGCTGCAAATCACAGATCAACTAGAAGAAACTAGATTCGATCGATCATATAAAAAGAAATTTGCTTTCGTTCAAACGATCCATCATTTGTTTGATTAATAAATTTAATAATTTTTCCTCGAACGATTGATAAAAACTCACGCCCCAAGCACGGTGTAATACTCGAGGGTGAAATGGTAATAGCATATCCTGGGCGGTTCGTTTTCGCGGCAAGCTCTGGCACACTCGTCCGGCGAGGAAAGCGCCGGATTTCGGCGCAATTCGGCCGTGGAACGCTCGCTGTAATCGAGGGGCCTCGTCCTCGGTGGTCTGACAGTCACCCCCCGACTGCCAAGATTGTCGATCCCCCCGAAACCGCTTCGAAACACGTTGCCGGTCGGCGGATGAGTTTGCACCAGGCCATGGCTCGAGGGGAAGAAGTTGGTTGTATCGTCGGTGAAGATGTTGCCCGTCTTGATAGTGGGCGTCCAGAAGGATGACGCTGGGGTCTGGTCGGAGACCACGTCTGTAATCAGAGGTGATAGAGGATAAATCGATCGTATCCTTTAAATTTTGAGTAATAAATATTAATAATACACGTAGCATATTTTTATTCGAAATTTCCTTTCTCTGGATAGAATATCGAATATTCGGAACATCGAAAGAAGTGAATTCGAGAGAGGATTAATTCGAAACAAGAAATAATATTTCACTGGATCCAAGGATACGCGAGACGTGTTAGGATAGGAATTTGAGTTTCGTAGGGGATGAATAAAGTCAAAGGTTTCTTAATACTGGAAAAAGAGATACTGCGACAAAGAGACGGCCAACGCGGTGTGCGCAAAAAACTCGGCGATAAATTGAGTGTAATCTCGATTGACCAGCAGATGTAGGTAATTAACACGGTACGAAGGATACATCTATTACCATTTAATAACGGGTAAACACACGTTTCAACGTTACGGCACTTCATTTCAATTATAAACGATAAAAGTGTAACAGTCATTGCACAATACCAATACAATTGTACAACGGCTGCATTGTACACGATCTGTCTAATAATTTCAACGTTACCATTATTACTCAGAAGAAAGTAACGAACGATTCGCAAAAAATTCGACAGGTTCTCGTTTCTCGGCGGGCCCGTGTAAAAGTTAATTCTTCGTTTATAAGGAAAAATGAGCAGCGATTAGAACGCGCTACCGACTTTTTCGTAGTTGCAAAAAAAGGAAGAAGAAGAAGAGGAAGAAGAAGAAACGATCGTATATCACGCGGCGTACGTTTGCACTCGATATGCGAATAGCCACGCACGAGAGAGCGAAAAGTATGCGAGCCAAGGGAGAAATTGCTGTTGGCCACGAACTCTCGAGAGTGAAGGTGGATGTTATCGTGGGGTTATCTTCACCGTGACCCTAGACAATCGACTATTTCGTTGCGCGATAAAGAAGTGTACATCATCTTCGATCGAAGATGGAAGAAATTCGCAAAGATCTCGAAATCGAATCGCGTGATCGTAATCCGATACGATAATTGCTGGGCGGAAAGAGCGATTAAAGGATTAATTATGACGGGATTGTAATCGAGTTACAATTTGTTAGATTCGCGGGGAATTCTCAGAATCGAGAACTAGTTACGATTAATTTGATTGTTGTAGCCGCCTCGCGCTCTGTGCGATTTTCCCTTTAATTATCGCGACGCTCGAGTGAATTTCGCGAGCTGTTTTCACTGTGAGATGCCACCGACTCACGGCCACCCAATTATGGAACTTTTGCCTCGGATTTGCAATTTTTTTCTTTTTTTTTTTTTAGTGATTAAAGCGTGGGCGATGCCCAATTAACACTCATGATACGAATAACCAAAGCATCGTGCATTTTGACTAAAAAGAAAAAAAAGTAAAATATATGGGACAGTAAAATATGTTTGTGTAATACAAAGTGTTATACGTGTCGTTTTCATTATTATTATTATTCGCCAAAAATTATTCGATTAATTTTTGGCGATTATTTATTGTTATATTTGTTTATATATTAATATCAACGGAGAAAATTTAAAAAAAATTTTAAAAAGATTTTAAAAAGATTTTAAAAAATACGATATCTTTTAAAAAAATAGAAAGCGTTAAGTGGAGTAACATTGATATTGACCAATAAAATAATTTACAAGATATTAGCGATAAATCGTCGATAATTTTACGCGTATCGAATGGTTTGTTTTTCTAATATATATTCGAGCGTTATTAAGGTCGGGCGTTTAGTATGCTTTCGACGTCGAACGAGAACGGTCGAAACACGAGTTTATGCGAGATTTATATTCTATTCCGCATATTTAAGAAATCACTGGTTGCATTATTCTCTTCAGGTACGTTACGTATGTGTATTTAAGCATATTGGAGGAATACTAACAAATTTTGATAAAATTTTACTACACAATGTAGAAATTAAAAAGTTTACATTTGTTTTAAATGTTTTGCTGTAACGATACATCTTTCGTTATTTTACTGCGACTATAAAAACGTATAAAATCGTTGTCCTTGCCGTTTAAATATCTTTCCTCTTCTGTATACGTACATTCTCTTTTTATTTCGATTTATTCGTTGTTAGACGATCATTCCTCCAACTCGCAGTATCCTGATTCCACAGTTCCTAAGAAACGAATATATAACAAACATATCGAGCAAATATTTGTTTACTTTTCTAAAAACCTCGTCACCGTTACGTGTTCGGAAAATATTTATTATTATCTCGTTGATTGTAACGAGAATTAAAATTCGGAAGATACAGAATTCTAATAGACGTGGATAAATGGATATTTGTTCCACGAATTATTTCGATTTAAAAAAAAAAAGAAAAAAAAAGAAATCGCGAACGATGCTATACGAACCGGTTTTGTCGCGCGAAAAAAATCGCGGGGTCGTTAAAAAAATCTTAAGGAACTTTGGATTGCGCAGCGTGCCGCGCGAGTCCGCGCCATAGATTCCAGTAGAATGTTGATCTGGGGTAACGTATATCCAATAAAAAATCAGAAACCCACGTACAGCGCGCTTTGCTTCGCCGTATTCGTTCCACGTAGCGTGAAAATGACGATAAAAATCCGATCGTTTTCGTGTTACTTTATCGCGATGGAGAAGATGAAATATTGATCTATGAAACTTAATTGGATGCTTGAAAAAGTTGGTGTGCACGCATATACGTATTTTATCCGGTGAAAATTAGATTCCTCGTGCTAATCACTTTGTGTAAATATTTTTATTTCCTTTTTTATAATTTACTCCGGCATTTACTTCGAGAAACACCGAAATTATTAAATTAATTAATAATAATCGTTCATTCTTGGGAATAATATTCGTAATAACCACGATATTAATTTATCCGCAATATCAATCATAATTTGTAATAATCCGCTCGTGTAATAAATAATTAATAATATTAATAATATTATTTATTCGCGGGGGGAGAAATCGCATTACGTTATTCGTCAAAATTTTCCATTTTTAGTCGTGTTTCACGATTCATCGTAATATTCGCACGCAATATTCGCGAACGATACCCGTTCAAAATCGTTATAATCTTTACAGCGATATAATAAGTTGGAGCGATAAATAATTTCGTTTTTTTTTCTTTTTTTTTCCCCTCAGTTATTTTCATAAATCAAGTTGACCAATAAAATTCACCGCAAGATCGACACGATTCCTTCGACACGATATAGAGGCTAACAACGAACCGAGTCAGGAACGACTTTTCGATATTTAACCATCCTGCACAAATATGGACACTAGCGCTTAAAAGGGTTATAGTATTGTAATTCAGCGTTCTATCCGGTCGCACGCCAGGCGGTCGGCCTCGTCCGCAACTGGCATAGGCGTGCATTATTTACGACCCTGCGCCGAACAGACATCGTGACGTAAAAATTTCTTCGCGGATGAATTATGCCGTTCGCTTGGTATGCGAATTTTTTCGCCACAGCGAACCGTCGAGCAAACCTACAAAGCTCTTCGAGAACCGACGAGCGTACAAAGCTCTTTGAAATCCGCCATTCGTCTAAACTGTATCTGTCGTGACTTCTGGGGCAAACGTCGTTCGAATATTCATCGGGAAGAAAATAATAATTTCGGTTCGGGTCTGGTACAAGTGTTGGGAGGCGATTTCAATATTCAAACGGAACTATGAGTATGTATGATGTGCACGATGTGTCTTCTTTTTCAACAACGATACAAAATGGAGGAAATTTAATTTAAAATGTGAAATAACACGAAACTAGCTAGTCCGTGTTACAAAATGCAATTCCAGTTCACAACTGGACTCCATTTTATTGAGGAAGTGAAACATAACTTTGATCCCATAATTTCCATGCAATATTTTCTAAGATCTGTTCTTAAGACTTTCTCTCTTTCTTCAATTTACATTGAATAAGATTCAATCCGTGCTAGTACATGAAATTTTCTTTTATGTTTCGAACTTAAAAACTTGATTCGTATTCGAATTTTTTGTTTACGCACAATGTATAAAAATCGAAATTTTATTATTTCATTTATATATTCTGGAATATATAATAAGCGAGCATAATAGGAAAAATTATTCTTTTCTAACCAATCATTATTTGCTTTAATAAAACAAATGTATTTTCGATCATTTCCTATTAGATCGCTATTAGGTGTAAAATTCACGTTATTTCCCGCATTTCTCCAGATATATCCACGCTGACATTTCTTCGAAAGCGTATGCAAATCGTGGTTCGAAGAAATGTAGTTCGATCAAATGTTTTGCAACGTTTCCGCGTTCTGCGCAAAATTGTCTCCGCAATTTCCAGTGAAATTTCTCTGTGGCGATCGATCTCTTTAATAAAGTTCAAACAGTTCCCGCTCGATTTCGAAGCCTCGTAAGGAAATCGAGCCGTTTCCGGATTGCGAGAGCCTCGGCTATCGAAACGCAATATTCGATAATTATCCTGTTTAACCGTTGCTTTCCTTAGCTTGAGCATGCACATGACGAAGTACTTGTTACCGATTGGTACCGAACCAACCGACAGTCGATAAAACAAAACACGGCTCGAAAAAGCAATTCTGTCGCAACGATATTTTACTAATCGATATTATACGTATATCTTGAATCAGCAATCCGTGTTTTTGATCGACTAGAAAAGAATCCATAAACTGGATAAAAGCGTAAGTGAAGTTTTTCTCTTCGTTTCTCCGCGGCAGTTTCGTAAACTGTTTTATTACCTAACCTAAAAATAGGCACAAGAAGAAAAGAATGCAAATTAGAATTCACCGCTGTCGGAGAGACGATAAATCATCGATTTTATATGGTGGTCAGTGTGGAAAATTTCGCGTCTTGAATGTATATATACATCATCCGATTCGCTGTTTTGATTCAAGCCCATTGTTGCGCAGTTAAGAAACGCATTAGCAACGAAATAATTGGGGAGGGAAAACAGAAAAGACAAATTAAACAGGATCTTCGTTACAATAACTTGCGAATTGCCTTGCGACTCGGATCTTGAGGCAACTTTAAAAATACTATAATTCGA